CAAGCACCAAAGCAGAACTTTCTTAATTTATGAATGAAAGTAGTGGGAGTGGACTTACTGGTTGATTTTTACTATGATACAACCGTAAAGAAACTGGTAGCCACCGTTAAGTTTGTAACATGATTCCGATTTTGGTGAATCTATTTACGTTTAGAACAATGCGCATACCGCGATTTTTAAGTTTTTGTGATTGCGATGTTTAGATTGAACAGAAAAATAATAGAAGCACAGTAATCAAAATGTAGGGAGGGGAACGAAGAGCATATATCTTTAAACTTCTCGAAGGCTCACAGAGATCTCCCAGAATAATATAGGAAACTGGTAAAATCCAGATTATAATGTACATAAACAGGAATAAACCATTTTCCCGGAAAACATTTTAAAATCGAAGAAATGTAACACTTCACCTGAAAGATGATTCGTGTTCTGACTAACGTAATAATAAATATATACTTACGGGAGTTTGAGCACCAATAGTTTGTGTTGAAACCGAACTGGCAGGTCGGATACTGGCAGCATTGGAAGGCAGTATGTTCAAGGGTCGCGTCGCTTGTTGTTTGGGTTGAATTTCATTGGTTGGTCTTGGTTTTGTTATTTGTTGAACCGTTCCTTGTGTTGCGATAGTTTCTAGATGAAAAAAAAACATTTAGTTCTCTTCTAGAATTATATAATCCATATGCAAATGTTCTCTTGGTAAAATTTATTTTACTGCAAAGTACACGTGGAATGTTTACTTCTATTCAGTTTTGACGTATTAAATATATCAGTTCGTATTAAATATATCAGAACACATATAAAATAAATGCTCTTATGGCGTTCAATTTCACAATTATTTTATAAAATATTTTCATGAGGGTGACAAGTTATTTACGTAATATATGTTAGGAGGGGAACGAAGAGTACGTCTACAACTTCAAAAGTACTCTCAGAGATCTCCTTTTATGATATAGGAAATTTGCATTCATCGGAAAACTTCAGGTTATAGGTTTTATAATGCAGAAGCTACCGAATTTCCAGTTAGTAAATATCACATACCCTGTCATTTTTCTCAAAAAGTATTTATTTATTCACCAATTTTTGTGTTGTCCCCAAGGGCGTCACCAACGGGGGGCAGAGGGGAGCAAATGCACCCCCCCTAGAGTTCAAATGTAGCTAGCCACAAAGTGACCAAAGTGTGAGCAATTGATTTCCTTACCTATTAATAAATTCCGCATCACATGACAAAACGTAAATAAATTCACAAGGTTTAATGTATATTGTAGAAAGTATTGAAATATTCAGAATAACATTAAGATTTTGACATCCGTTTTTAAAATCGCCGCCATTATCATCACGACTATATCAGATTTGCCATTAAACAGTGTAAAAATATGTAGGTATGGTGTGTCTGTGTGTTGTATGCATTGCATTTCTTTCTACGACAGCCGTTCACCAGTCTATCCAAATCCAAAATAGAGTAAAACAAAACAAAACCGAAGCGTGATGTTCACGTGATCGCCCAGTGTCAGATGGAAAGAGCAGCGTTCATTGGTGAATTCGCCTTTTTGGTACGAGTTCGGTCCCCATCAGGGTTGTAATCAGTCGTTTGTGTGACGTGCGTTATAGTATATTGTTTAAAATTGTTTTCCAAGATGTCCAGTACAGACACTGCTGATGACACTGTGAGCTATCCTCTGAGTCCAGCCAGGAAACGATCCAAAAAAAGACATTTGAGTGTTGAGATGAAAGAAGTGATTTTACATGTATTCAAGAAAGAGATGGAAAAATTGAGACATCGACTGTCGACGAAGTCGAATCGAAAGTTTCCGATAAAATTGGAGTGTGTTGCGCTTCGATTTAGAATGTTTTACTGGAATATTAATAAAGTCATACATTTTCCAAACCGAATACAAATCAGAATCGTCAAACCATTATAAAATCAATAGATGATGCTGATAAACATGCAATCAGGAGGAAAGTGCATTTCAGAAATGAAATACCCATGATAGATAAAGTACTCACAGAAATAGATGAAGATGTTTTATTGCCAAGTTTTAAGCGGTCAACATTCCATAAAGTATTGAAACATTTGAATTTTTTATAGAAAAAACGGGGGCGCAATAGTTTATTATTGGATAGTGAGGAAATTGTGTTATAGAGAACAACAGAGAACAATTTATTATATGGATGGAACCTGGGTTAATGCTGGTCATACTACCCCTAAAGTAAGGGTCGATGAAACTGTGACCTCATCTAGGAGGGCATTTCTAGATGGACTATCCACCGGATTAACAAATCCATCAGGTAAACTTATATTTATATTAAGACCTGCCTCAATCTCAATATATAAAAAGTAACCCGAGTATTTGTTTTATTTACTTACATAACTCTTCATAATTTCAGGTAAAGGAAAACGGCTTATTATTTGTCATATCGGCAATGAGAATGGGTTTGTTGCTGAAGGGCTGTGGTGTTTTGAGTCGAAGAAAACTGGAGATTATCACGAAGAAATGAACGGTGAATCTTTCGAACAGTGGTTTTCCAAAGTTCTACCTCATCTGGAGGATAATGCTGTGATTGTAATGGACAATGCACCTTATCATTCGCGACGGTTAGAGAAGATTCCGACGTCTTCAAAGAAGGTTGAAATGCAAAATTGGCTGCGATCAAAGAATATTAGCTTTGAAGACTCAATGCTGAGTGTACAGCTACTAAAAATTGTCAAGGAGCGCAAGCTTGAATACCAAAAATATATAGTCGATGAGATGGCAATCCCATCGAGTTAATATGGGCGGATGTGAAGAATTTTGAAGCTCAGCATAACACCACGTTCAAATTTGCAGATCTCAAAGTACTTTTTGATGAGGCTTTGAAAAGAGTCACAGCGGAGAAATGGGAGAAGTGTGTTCGGCATGTGATATCGGAAGTCGAGACAAAGATGTGGAAGCTTGATAACATAATAGAGGCACAAATCGAGCCACTGATAATTCAGATTGGTGAGGATGACACTACTGATGAAGAGACAAATTCATCCAGTTGAATAATTTTGATTAATATTCCTTTTGATTTTACATAAAATAAAAATTATCAATAAAGAAATAATTACGTCTCTTTTCATATAATGCTTGAGCGCGCTGTGAAAAATCCGATGAAAATCTTTTTATATTACACATATTATCTGCATTTTTCCCGTTAAACTGCAAAACTTGTGCATTTCACTAGTTATTATAAAAAAGTTTTCCTAAGTATGATATAGCATTTGCGATCAACAAGATGTTGGTTCTAAATACGACCCTGGCCACTTCTTGGGATTTTCAATATCACGTGCGTAGGGCATGTCAATGTTTACATCCACTCTATCTTGGATTTGAATTTGCTTTAAAGTAGAAGTTGTTGTTACGAACATATAATTTTAATTGATTTTGTAGACAACGCCATCTGTAAGGGTTCATAAGAAACACCTACAGCCTACAGTTGAATAAATCGACTACAATTCTTGTAAAACCTAGTATTGCTACTCGACACTAGATGGCGATTGTTCAATGAACTCTGTGTTGAAATAAATAATTATTACTGTGTTTGAAAGTTTGATTTAGTTATTGTGCTGTCGAGGGCTTGTGAAGTTTTATACATTGGGCCCTAGCAGAACATGGTTTTAATTCTGTTAACGAATCCAGTATGGCGCTGTTGTCAAAAATATGTTTCTGTGGGTAAAACAGATTACCTACTATCCGACATCCGATTGTCAAACGTCAATGTCGTCAATCAAATATCAAATCATCCGATCTGACTGACGATAAAACAAATGATCTGTACGTACATATATAAATTAGAATGCGTCTGTTGTCAATATCAGTTTGTATTTCAGTTCATTGATTCCGTTATTCTTGTGTTTCATTGTGAAAATGCTGTGTGCCAAAACTGTAATGATTTGCAGAGTAAACGTCATCGGTTTCCTCAACCAGAACTTTTGAACTTTTTGAAATGTGGATGGAAAAAGTTAACAATTCGTTGCTGATTAATAAAACGAAGGAGTAAATTCACAAAAGTCATTTTGTGTGTCATGTTCATTTCAAAGATGAGTTCAAAGTAGTTAGCCACAGAACCCTTTTTAGCAGGTAAACTTTTTCTGTCTAGTAAAAATGGCATTTTCCAAGTTTGGGTTTATATTCCGTTAATAGCTGGTTTATTTGAGATTTGTTGTTCTGATAGTGTAATCTTGTTATCATTGTAATTGTGTAAGGTTGAAAAATAAGCTATTTTCAAGGGAGACATAATATACTTGGTCGTTGCTCAATAACCATTATTCAATGCTCTCTGGATGAGCTATAGTATTTTAAATTTGTCGCGTTTCGATAGTTCTCCATTTGTTCAGTAGATGGCGCGCTGACTCGTCCAAAAGTTCTATTAAGGAAACATTCACCTTGATTTTGAACAGTCCATGTAGGTACTAATTTAACCAACAAATTAAGACAAATTGAACTTACGATTCTGTTGAGTCTGTATGGTAGCAGCCTGGGGGTTTTGTTGAAGAAACATCCCTGGAGTGCCATCTGCTTGTGTGCCTCTTATGAATATTGGATTCTGTAACTGTAAAGCTTGAGGTTGGAGGCCGTTTGTCGTCCATACGTGTTGCAATCCGTTAGCTGCAAATTGCCAAGGGGCAAATTGCATTGCCTGACCATTTGGCTGTAACAAAAGAAGTTTTTCAGAAATGGCACATCAAATATAAGTATCACTAAAACATGATTTGGATTTTGTTTCATATGAATGGCAGGAAATACATTGAATCTGAAGCAGTCCCATTCATTATATGCATTCTTGCTAGCAGGTTAATTCACGTTTATTGAACCCAGGAGACATAATAAGAATAATAGTAATAATAATAATGAATCGGTAAACCCAACAGGATGATTTGCCCATTTACAGAACATAAAGTAAATAATCAGTACAGTAAATTAATAGTTGAAGAATTAACGTATTCCAAAAACACTTTATTGTGAGATTTTCACTAAATTGTTTTACAAAAACGCAACACGTGTTTCGCCATACAATGGCTTCATCTGGCGTTGAAGAATTAAAAAATATATAAATATAATCAAGTCAAGCTGCTAGAAAGTAATTCTATGAAAATTAAAAGATATATAGATGAGTAATATTTCGATCACTCCAAATTTTATTTCATATTACAGTGTATGTTTTTACGGATGGTGGAATACGAGACGTTGCTTTTCCGTTACAAATTATTCAAAGGTCGGCGTTTCGCCATCATCTCAGATGGCATTATCAAGGCGATAACAAATCTTGAAAATGCCGTCTGAGATGATGGCAAAACATCGGCCTTTGAAAAATACACAACGGATGAACACCCGAAGAAAGCAACTTCATATGTATATGACAATTCTGAGATTATAATAGAATGACTGAAAGAAAGATAATTGGTGCATCATTGCATCGATGCAATAATAATAAATGAATAGTAGCCCGCGAAATTTGAACATTCATCTTATTTTTTGAACAGTCGTCGAACTTCAAGATTGAAATAATGTCATCTGAAGTTCCTGAACATTCTGAACTTATAAGTAAAGCGAAAGTAGAATTGAACATTGAAATTCAACAAGCGAAAAAAATAAATAAAAACTCAACACTTTATTTTTGAGGACTGATAGACCAAACTTTGGTGATAACGTTGGTCTAAAGATGGAAATTGGAAGAGGATTCAGAAGTTAGTAGTGAACACAGCAGACCTCTGTACAATAAAAATAAAACAAAGCAAGCACCAAAGCAGATATAGATATATCTGTAAAAAGGAACATAAATGAGTTGCATATGAAGAAATAAAAGAAACTTAGTAGTTGGAAATGAAATCTAGAAGAAACTGTTAAGGAAGGAGGTCATAAGTAAGGCCAACAGTTCAACTTTGTTAGTAAAGATTTCTTGTGAAAATAGTTGTATTCTTCTTGTGAATAAAGATCAGGAATAAATAAGCATTCTACTCATTGTCAAAAAGCCAATATACATAATAATATATTAGTAACACATGGGCTGAAAATCCCGGGCTTAAGAAATAAACCGCGATTTTTTTTTGTTCAAAATTGGCTTTATTCATCAACTTAATCTCCTTCAAGAGCTACACAATCATTCCAACGCCACTCTAGTATTTCAATACCAATTTTGTAGAAGGATTTATCTTTTGCCCTAAAATAGGCCTCAGTTTCAGCAATAACCTCTTCATTCGAGAGAAATTTCTTACCGGTGAGCATTTTTTTGAGATCTGCGAACAGCCAGTAGTCACTGGGAGCCAAATCTGGCGAATACGATGGATAGGCGAGCAATTCGATGTTCGATTCATGTAGTTTTGCCATTGTTTTCATTGACTTTGTTGATATTTCTCTTCTCAAGATGGTTGGTGGACATAACACCACGCACATCCCAAAATACCGAGGCCATAACCTTTCCAGGCAATTGTTGTGCTTTAGGGTGCTTTGGACGAGATTAACCAGTTGCTCTCCACTCAGATGATGATCGTTTTGATTCCAGAGTGAAGTGATGGATCCATGTGTCATCCATTGTCACATATCGACGCAAAAATTTCGCAGTGAGCTCGCGCGGCCGCCACTATAAACAGAGCTTTCTCATAGTCGAATGTTCATGCAATATGAAGCCAATACGTTCTTTTGATATCTTCAAAATATCAGCTAACTAACGCAACTTCACTTTTCGATCATTCAAAACGATTTTGTGGAGTTTTTTAATGTTTTGTAGTGATACTGCCTCATTTGGACGTCCACTGTGTTCTACATCATCGGTGTTTCTGCGACCACCTTTGAAGTCAGCAAACCAAAGTTTAATTGTTGTTTCTGATGGAGCGGAGTCCTTATAACACTTTTCAAGCCATCGTTTCGCTTGTATTTTTTCCCATCAAGAAGCCGAAATAGTTTTTGATCCATTGTTTTGAAAATAACAAAAGTAGTGTCACTCTTAGCACAAGAAGTCACAAACTTATGAGTACAATATCATGAAATTTCAACAGCTCTCTTTTGAAGGTTGATACTAACTGAAAAAGCGGCAAATGCAGTATGACTAGCGCCATCTATGTGTTAGGCCCGCGACTTTCCAGCCCAGGTAGTAAATGAAGAATCCATTCGTTGACAAAATGGTTTAGACTTTCGCGGCTGAGGTTTTCAGTGTCCTTGTTTTTCGTGTTTGAAAGCCGTTGATTTTTGGAGTTTCTTCCTGACGTTTCGCTGGCGCGAGTGGCTAGCTTCTTCAGAGGTTTAACCATCAAGGCTGTGTTTTCCAACAAAACAGAACTAATTGCCCCCAACCAGGGATACTATAGCCGACTGGTACTGGAGGCAATAGAGATCCACAAACACACGGAGCATTTCAACAGAAAAGAAGAAGCGGTGAACCTCAATCGAATATGGAACCCCATTTTAAGGAATTCGAGAGTAACGAACAGCAAGGCCTAAAATCGCTTTATGAAGCCTAAAAGTTAGCCATGATGGTTAAACCTCTGAAGAAGCTAGCCACTCGCGCCAGCGAAACGTCAGGAAGAAACTCCAAAAATCTACGGCTTTCAAACTCGAAAAACAACGACACTGAAATCCATTCGTTCTTCAAAGATGCGAATTTCCATCAACAAATGGAAATTGACCCCATGGAATTTAATGAACGAGCATGAAGGTCTTGAAAATATATGTTGTGGTCACACTGAAGCTTGTCCCAGAAGTTCAATTAAATTTCCAGTTGAGGAAAGCCTATATTTCTTTGAATGTTTGTTTACATATTATATTTAGAATCTACCGGGTTTACTGAACAATGTATTAATCTATGCCTAGGTCTACTGAAATCTTATAATATCCATGCCAAAATATTGCTGTCATTTTCTAACTACTGTCAAATTCTACTGGTTATTTATCATTAGAATCTTACTTGTAACGGACTGATAATTTGTGCGGTCGGCTGTGTGCCGATCATCGCTTGGGAAACTTGAACACATTGTCCTTGTTGAGTTTGAGCAACTTGACCCTGACTACTTGCAACTTTTTGCATTTGCACTTTTTGAGTTCCCATGACCTATGGAAAATTTCGTATTGGTGAGTGGAAGATTTTATCATTATCATTTTTATAGTATGGATCTCATTTACTTGCTATATTATCTTTCATCGCTATTTCTGTAACTTCTGCTAGAAAAGTGTGATGCTAACAGATTAAGTTGGAAAATATAAATATCCATTTAATCAATCAGAATGTACACTGATGTATTTTTACTTTGAGAAATCATCAAAATGGAATTAAAAACATTTGCACACGAACTAAGAATTGAATTCAACTGAATGAAGATAAAAGAAAGATCCACTAATGAAGCTGAATTTTCCACAAAGTTATTTTCAAAAATGTACAGCGAGACCTACTTGAAAGCGGGACACCTCCCTAAAATTTGTATCTTGTCTCCGATTTTGAAGAACTTAATTTTAAATTGCAGAGCTCAAAAAACTGTACTTTTGATGCAAATATCATTTTCATACGCCTGCTGCGAATATTTTCATACAAGAAATCGAATTAACGATTTTTTAGCAAAAAATTCAAAGTCACCATTGGACTGGGCACCCGCTCAAATGGTGGTATGCCAAATTTCAACAAAAAACATTCAATATTGATAATCCTGTGGTCGAATCAACATTCACATTGTATTATGATAGAATGTTAACTGCACACCTCTTAAATGGTTTTTAAATCTTGGTGAGTTGGCCGTGAAACACCATGCTCTTTTCATTTGGCACTGGAAACAAAAATACTATTGAAACAGTAACGTCACATTATGCCAGATTAGTAAGAAACATATTTTGTAAAGCGGTAGGAATTTACCATGGGAGAACTGAATATGCTAGATAAAATAGAACTTGTGCGCCTTATCGGAGATAATGCTCTTTCGGCAAGAGAAGCTAAGCTGCCAGAGAATTTCATAACAGACATCCTGATAAACTTCCAGTAAGCAGCAGTGAACCGTAAATTCTGTTTTTAACGAAACAAGTTGTGTATCGAGACATATGCTCAAAAACAGAAACAATCCACATCGTGAGAATGAAAATGGCGTGTGAATATTGCAATATTTCCGTAATAATCCTCATTCAAGCTAGCGAAGTTTGAACTTAAATATCCCTAGAGAAAATATCAGGGGATGCATTGGGAAAAATAAAATTAAACTATTCGACCCAAAAATTTTACACACTCCGGGAGATGAAGAAAGAAGGTTAGAATTCTGTATGTGGGAGAATGTATTTCAATGATGTAAACTTCTTCAAAACAATTTTGTTTAGTGATGAAGCTACGTTCTCCACAAATGGGGTAGTCTCGTCCCAAAATTCAAGGAACTGTTCTGCGGATAATCCTAATTGCAATATTCCCATAAAATAAATGTGTGGTGTGGAATAATCCAAGATAAGATTATCGGTCCGTTTTTCTTCGAGAGTAATCTGAATGGAATTATATGTGTAGACTTTTTGAGAAATGAGTTTTGGGACGCAATACATAACATACTAGTGCAGGATCGCCTGAATTTGAAGTTTCAATTAGATGGGTCTTCTGTACATAACGCAGTTATTGTAAGAGAATGGCTAAATAATAATTATGGAAATCAATGGATAGGTCGAAATAGTCCTTACATTGAGTGGCCGCCAGGTTCATCGGACCTGATTCCGCTAGATTTTTCATTGGGGTACTGTGAAGCAAAAAGTTTACAAGTCCAGACAGCAGTCAGTAATTACAACAGAACAACTGGGAAAAGTTATATTGACTATTAGAAGAAGGTATGAGAAGTGCATTGCAATGAATGCAATGAATGGAAAATTTTATGAACGTTCATTACTGTTTCTGTCTACAATAATTTGTTGAATATTGTTTTTCAATTGTTTAATTTGTCCAATGATTAACTGATCAGATTTCAACCTGTAAGAATATTCGCAGCAGGCCTTGGTTTTTGTAGAAAGAAAATGATATTTCTAATTTCCGCCATCCGACCAGTAGGGCACGATTTGCCGCTCCCAGAACCTCCAGATGATTTGAATTCTTTTCAAACTGAAATGTTTTTTGATGTACTGTCAGATATAGACGAGCAAGATGATGAAGAGTTCCAATGTGCTACAGCAAATATAGAGCCTAAACTGTTGGCAGTTGGAACTAGCATATATGTGTATAGGAAGACAGAGCAATAGTTTTCGAACTTTTTTGAACAAGAAGGTGATTTAGTGTACTGCTCAGACATTCCAGGTCTGATCAAAGAGTTTGGTGTTGAATACAAAAAAGAAGACTGGAGGCTGTTTATTGACTCTTTCAAAACTTGTTTAAAAGCTGTTTTATTATACAATAGTAACACTTATGCGTCTATAACTATTGGCCATTCTGTACATATGAAAGAGACCTATGAAAACCTAGAAATAGTGTTGAATAAAATTGGCTTTTCGGCTCATGGTTGGATGATATGTGGTGACTTGGAAGTAACATGCATGCTTCTTGGTCAGCAAGGCGGTTTTACCACATTTCCATGTTTTTTGTGTGAATGGGACAGTAGAGCAAGGGATCAACATTGGTGCAGAAAGAACTGGCCTGTGAGGGAGTCTTCAAAACCTGGAGAGAAGAACATTCTCCGCAAAAACCTTGTAGATCCTAGAAACATTCTCTTACAATCTCTACATATAAAGTTAGGCCTCATAAAACAGTTTGTAAAGGCAATGCCTAAAGATGGACCTTGTTTCAAGTATCTCTGTCAGAAATTTCCAAACCTTTCAGAACTTAAACTTGAAGAAGGCGTCTTTGTAGGACCCGACATTCGAAAAGTGATGTTTGACGTAAACTTTGAAACCACAATGACCATACGTGAGAAAGAAGCATGGGTAACATTCGAACAAGTTGTTACAAAATTTTTAGGAAATGAAGACCCAGAATATCGTACCATTGTAGCTAACATGTTAAATAATTTTAGGAAACTAGGATGTTTGATGAGCCTGAAAGTTCACTTCTTGAACAGTCATCTTAATTACTTCCCGGAAAATTTGGGAGATATTAGTGAGTAAACGCTTTCACCAAGATATTAAATTGATGGAAAAACGTTACCAGGGCGCCGCGGAACATCAACATGATGAGAGACTACTGTTGGTCACTTCACAGTGAAGCGACTCATCGCAGGAAAAGCTACACAACAAACTTCAAAGAAAAAAGAGAAAGGAAGTATAAAACAATTCCATTTGACTAGTGAAACCTACATTACAACACTATATCATTATTTCAAGTAACCTACTGTAAATAAAAATCATGATAGTGATTCAACATAGTGTTTAATTAATTTTGCCATATACCATACAGATTTTAAATTATATAAAAAAGTCAATTTCTCAAAAACTATGGGCGATACAAAAAAACTAAGACCAGATTTGAATTCAGCACACAAAAATCTATAAAAATCATCTATTGAAGTAAAGTTTTCAGAAACATTTTTTTTTGTTGGCCTGTGTTATATTAGGAGAGAGAAAAATATTGAATTACGTGACCTGGTAGAACCAGGTGACAAGCAGACCAAAACATTAACCAGGCATTTGGCAATAATAGTGCTAACGAACTCACTTATCGACGATGGTTTCCGAAATTTCATTCCGGAGATTTCAGCCTCGAAGATGAGCTCCAAAGTGTTCGTCCTACAGTAATCCAGGACGAGAATTTGAGAATCCTGGTGGAGACTGACCCATCACGAACGGTGCGTGGGATGGCAGAAGAACCAGGCGCTAGGTCTCATGTGGTTTTTGATGGTTTAAAACGATCCTTTTTTGGATCGGATCCCCTACGACAACAGGAGACGTTCAGCACATTGGTTGGACACCGATGAGCCACCCAGGCACTTCCCAAAGGCAAAAACCCACCAAAAAAGATCATGGTTATTGTATGTTGGTTAGCGGCTGGTGTGATTCACAACAAGTGTGTGCAACTGGGACAAACCATCACAGCAGAGTCCTGTTGTGCGGAAAACAACGAAAAGTACCAAAAATTGCTTTAGCAGCCGCCGCCACTGGTCAACAGAAGAGGTCTGATTCTGCTCCACCATCCGGAAATTGAACGAATTAAGCGTCGAAGTTCTGCTTCACCCACTATGCCCCTCAAACCCCTCGCCAACCGTCCACCATCTTCTTAAGCCCTTCGATAACATTCTGACCGGTAGAACCTTCGCCAATCAGGACAAAATCTGCCTTCGACGATATCATCAAATCCCGAGTAGGAACTCAATTTGTATGCTGATAGAAGGTATCGACTTGTGTTACGTTGGCAAAAGTGCACTGATTCAAATGGCGCTTATTTCGATTGAATTGAATAAGTATTCACCGATATATTGCAGTTTAAAGTAGACTCATAAAAATGGGCAAAACTTTCAAAACAACCTAATATTTTGTCATTATTCAAAGAGAAAAGAAATGGGGTTTTTGTTATGAAATATTTAGAGTAATTCACTCTTACAAGTCCTGAGTCTAACAGATCAACGTCAAGAGTATATTCCTCAAAAACTATGGTACCTAGGTAGGCTTGGTCATCATGCATCCATCAAATCTTGTAATTTGCAAACATCAACAATTTGAGGCCTCAACAAAATATGTGGATCAACAGAGAACTATAAAGCACCCAGGGAATCGATAAAGTCATGAGTATCATCAGAACTGGTCTGAGACATGAAGAACTGATGGATAGAAAGAAATAGATTGACTTTCTTCTGAATCAACTTTGGGAATACAGAATCAGATCAGCAATTGGGTCAACAAAATAATAAAGAGTACTGGAAAAATGTTTCATCGTGTATAGGAAATTTTACATAACACGTTGATCACACGGTACCATAATATAAACTCACCTGTATTTGCGATGGATTGATACCAGGATGAAGGGCTATGTTGCTGATATTTCCCGGCATCAGTAATTGTCCTTGAGTATTATATAACTGCTGGAGATATGTTGGATTCTGGATGGGTTGCTGTATAACCTGGACAGCTCTACCGTGGCCCCAGTCAGTGCCGATTTGCTGTTGATGGGCGGCCTGGCTTTGCTGTAGAGGTGACATTGTTGTTATGGTCGTGCTGCCGGTTTGAGCAGCTGTCAGAACTTGACCTCCCTGGGTCTGGATGACTTGACCTTGTTGGGCAACTTGTTGGTGCATGGAAACGGTATGCTGAGGAGGACCCATCGATGTTGACACACATTGACCGCCTGGAATAACAACTTACATTATTTTAGAAATTTCCCAACACATACATGTGATATTGATCCAAGAGGCATTTTTAAGAATAACTGAACATGCAATGATGAAGTGCCAAGTAATTGTGACAGCACTGAATAACATTTGAAAGTCAAGTTCAACTAAATTTTTCTTGGGTCATACTTTCTGAAAGAAGCTCGAAAGTATTTCACATTGCCTCATCTAGTCGCAATATAAGTAGTGTATACTTTTAACCCTTTGACTCACGGTGTCTACAATTGTAGACACTAACTTTCCAGTTTCCGTGATACCCACAATTCGCTTCGTTTCGCATTTATACAATCCTAAATACATTTGTTGACCTCTCTGCACATGTGTTAGCCAGTTAGCAGTGATATCTGCCATACACATATAGAAACATATCCAGCAGCGTGCATTGTGACAACTTCGTTGAACATTCTATCCAGGTAAGTTCTCGTAATTCTTCAATTATATCGGAAGTTACTGCTAATCCAGTCAATGTTTTGCTTTTCTTTTGATTATAAATGAATTGTCTTGAAGTTCTCATGCATATTTTTGTGAAATATTTCTCTTAGGAATTATGATAGGCCCCTAAAATATCGTGTCTACAATTGTAGACATTTGTTTACAAGGAACTAACTATCTGTTCCACTGAAAATTTTGGTCATTTCAGGAAATCATGGACAGAAAGAGAATTCTAACTGAGAGAGAACTTCTAGAAGAACTAGAGAAAGGCCTTTCTGACATAGAAGGCCTTGATAGTGAGGATAGTGATGAAGATATTATGATATCAAGATGCACTCATATCATTATATAGAACAAAAATAAGGTCCAAGAAATGGACACTGAGGATGATATTTCATGCTGTAGATATATCACTCATAAATTCATGGACAGAGTACAGAAAAGATTCTCAGCTGCTTGAACGGCCAGCAAATAAAACTCTAGATTTATTACACTTCAGAATGGAAATAGGAGAGGTCCTCATCAAACAGGGAAATGAAATTTCACGAAAGAAGGTTGGAAGGCCATCAAAAGATGATGCCCCAGTCCAGCCAAGTCGAAAAAGAACCGAAGTGAGGCCTCTAGCAGATGTACAAATGGACAATGTGAATCATATGCCAGAGCACACCTGGACGTTGTAAAAATGTTGGGTGCAAGGGCAAGTCACGATGGATTTGCACTAAATGTAAGGTACATTTGTGCCTTCAGAAAAATCGCAACTGTTTTGAGAACTTCCACAATAATTGATTTAGAATGAACAATCTTTTTTATATTTGATTTTACACAACGAATGTTCTTTGCTTTTTCAAATAAATATAATAGGTACCATTGACTACTGATGTCTACAATTGTAGACATTTTTTTTTCGTACTACCAGGGGTGTGAATTCCAAACAAATGTTTGAAGTGTTTACAAATATCATATTTTGACAATATATTACCAGAAAATAATTTTTATCTCTTTAAACCAAAACTCGTGAGTCAAAGGGTTAATCACTGTATTAAAGATTTATACCTGAAGCTCCAACAGTGACTTGTTGTAAATGCGGACTTTGCGAAGGCACCAAAGCTTGCTGCTGTTGCTGCTGTTCCTGTTGTTGTTGAAGAGCTACTTGCTGCATCTGCTGCTGCTGTTGTTGAACTGCTTGGGCTTGAGCCTGCGCTTGTGCTTGAGCCTGCGCTTGTGCTTGAGCCTGCGCTTGAGCCTGGGCTTGAGCGTTTGCATCCATTTGTTTATTGATATCGCTCATAGTAATTGTAATTTGTCCTGAAGCTAAAAGAAAATCTTGTTTCACTCGCAGCCGTGCAATAAGGGTTTTAATTATTTTGGGTTATTAGTTGCTTGAAACGAAATTGTTTTTTGTGAGACTACAACTCTAACAAATATTTGATTGATTTAATGGAGGTTTGGTGAAATTGTTTCGGTAGACAATTCTTTGGGCGACCAGCTTTAATAACAAAGTCCACATAAAAAAGTTCATTAAAGCAACCAAGAAGTATTTTTCATGTATTGAGGGTGGATACGTGTTTATTTACATTATATTTATATGTAGATATTTCAATAATCATCATTGAACAGGTAAACATTCCTCCTTTGATAGTTTTAGGTTTTTATAAATTATCTGCTGTCTGAAAAGTCTACGTTCGTCTAAGTACTTTTTCAAGTGTTTTGATTTCATATTTAGAATTGAAAGATAGACGAAAAAAGTTTCGAAATAAACAGTGTTCTTGAACAAAAAGTTACTGAAAGTGGGGACAACAATTTAGAGAACTTTTAAAGAAGCCCATTACCCAGATGAATAAAATCTTACTCTATAGAGCGCATCACAACGAAAGGAGACTACTTTTCGAGTAGTTCGGAGGAACAATCAATCAATCAAATATACTTTATTGTCTGAAGAACTACATCTTGTAGACAAAGGCATAAATAATATGTAAGATACAAAAATCTACATAAAAAAACATACACAATTCAAACAAAATACAATAAACATAAGCTAAAAATGTGAAATACACTGAGATATTCAGCTGGAAATAACAAGACATAGAAATAAAAGTTAAGATTCAAGTGAATCGTTAGGATACTCCTGAACTGAATAATAGGCCCTATCAACAAGTAGCATTTTAACTGCTTTTTTGAATTTGTTAAGCACTATAATTTCTTCAATTCGGGCTGGTAAGTGGTTAAACAGTTTGATCCCGCTGAATATAATTGAATCCCTAACAAGAGAGCTCGCAGGAATAGGCAGATCTATGATACTATTGTGGCTACGAGTATTATATGAGGAAGAGGGAGATGCACAAGAATAATTTTTTTTATCAAGCAAATTGATTCCAAGATAAACAGGGCAGCTACTGTTAAAATACCGTGATCTATGAAAAGAGGCTTGCATGGATCCCTGGGAGCTGCTTTGCACATATATCGGNAATAAAAAACAAAGAATTATAAAAGGCAAAAAACGCAAAAATTTAAATAAAAATATATTTTATCTTAATCTTCGAAAGATGAATCTTCGCTAAGGTCTGAACTGATGTAATCTGGTTCAGAGTGTCACTATCTTCTTGCAAGTTGATTATCATGTCGTCTACCATGAAATCTAATGTTGGTTCCTTTTCCATGAAAAACTGTACAAAACTTTGAGCATGCTCGCATCGTTTTTTTCCAGAAAAGGTACTAAAAAATTCATCGCATAATCTTTAAGCTAAAATCTACATTTCCTTGTGCAACATTTTGCTTTAAAGACGCCCACACTAACTCCATAGTGTGGCGTCCGTGGGCGCTCATAATTTCATCAATTTTATACATTTCATATCGCGGTTTATAAATTTTATTTACACTATATAGCAGCTCTTTCTTGAACATACGTCCTCTAGGTTTATTTTCTGCCGCTTCTCGTTGCATAAAAAAATTGCATTGGCTATAACTTCTCTCATTTGACTTGTCAACACTTTACGATTTAGGTTCGATTTAAACTCCATTCTGGTTAAGTTACAATACTCAAATTGTACCCTTTACGCTTTATTTCTGCTCGGACTGTACACTCGGTTAACCCGCGATGCTCACTTCACAACAGACAAATTCGACTGACTGTCTTCTGCGCACAGCTAAGGCGGCCTCAAATTAAGATTTTGAAACTGTTTTCCATTCTTGACAAACTGTAAAGTTGTTCATTAATTAGGTATCATATTTACAGAAATGATTTGCAACAATTATTATTTATTCATCGTTTGTATTGTCGCAGTATGTGGGGTGCAGTTCATTGAACACATAAAACTGTAATTTTTAGGATTTTTGTATTCGTAGTACATATTGGAAGTACATATATTACTGGTTTCAGGTATACTTATTATACCTATAGTTTCTTCCGACATGCACTTCCGTACTTAGACAATTGATAACGACCATCTTGTTGAAGCTACATCTGTCAAATTAGTTGTCACCATGGACAGATATAGCATTCAACAACACGTTCAAATAATAAAATTGTTTTATCACAATAGATGTCCTGTTAGGGCAACGCACCGCGTGCTTCGCCATTTTTACGGTCGCCACAATCGTTCTATCGAGAGGACTATTCGCAATGTGGTGGATAAATCTGCCGGAAACATTGCCGCTGTCTGTGAGAGTGTGCAGGAGAATCAGGAGGCAGTCGATTTCGCGTCGCGACCCGTACAAAATTCAACTGACTCAGGAACTGAAGGTAAACGACCATAGACAACGACGTGTGTTTGCTCTGGAGCAGTTGGCAACTGACTATAATTTTCATCGAAAACTTATCTTCAGCAATGAGGCTCATTTCTGAATGAATGGGCACGTCAACAAACAGAATAGTCAAATTTGGGACGATATCAATCCACATGAGACAATACAAACAAGTGACTATAAAGACTACACATTTTATATTTATTATAAGCGACATTCACGCCTTTTTTCGAGACCGAAAAAGTTATGCTTTTGTAGCAATTCAGAGTGGGTTGTTCCTATTGGAGGATAAATGCCATCGGTTTTTAGGCTTAGCAGTTTTAAAACTCTTCGTTGTATTGCTTCTATTCTATCAATGTGATATTGATAAAAGGGGCTCCACACAACTGACACGTATTCTAACATTGATCTTATGAAAGCATTGAATAAAGTTTTTAAGGTCGAAGTTTATTTGAAATCACTACTGTTACGTGCAATTAATCCGTACAAACGACAAGAGGAGGTTACAACATTATCGATATGCCTATTAAATGATAGTGCAGTGTCAAATGTAACGCTAAGATTAGTAAATGTTTCTGGTCTCACCAACGAAACGTTTTCTATTGAATAATCAAAGATCAAGATGTTCGTTTTCAAACGACATGACCATAAATTTATCCGGGTTTAGCGACAAGTTATTTCGATAACACATTCTACAGTATAGTTTGCATACAAAAGGAAATACACATCTATAACATCTGCAATATCATTAATAAAGATATTGAAGAGCAACGGTCCCAGATTTGACCCTTGTGGAACACCGGAAGAAGCAGTATATTCGGTAGATTTGAAACCATTGAGCTGAACATATTGTTTTATGCGCCATAGTCATGGAAAATTGGACATTTCAGATGCACCCCACTCAGAGAAGCCGTGACGGACATTTTAACGATGTTATATTCCGTTATATTCCACATATAATAATGACATCCATAGGTTTTTGAAAAAAACACAAACTTTCGATGATATCTCACATACACTTTGTTTTATTTAAATTTGAAGACATGAAACACTTAATGAAAGACTATATTTATCAACAACCCATTTGAGTATACTTGTATTCAGACTCACCGTCCACGCTCTGTTTGATAAACTCGTGTCCTCTATCCAAATTCAGTAAAGTATTGGCAACATCGTACTTGCAATCGTCAGGAGTTATATCATGAATACCAGCCTTTTGCGCCAAAGTTTCCAAACACTGCAAAGAGCGGCTACCTTGCTGCTGTTGCTGCTGGTTGCTATTGTTGGTTTCGTTATCCTGTTGAGTTGATTCAGGCTCCTGATTATTGTTGTCTTCCACTTTCACTTTGGGCGGGGTGGTAGTGTTGGTGGTATCTTTTAAGGGTTGCTTTTGACTGTCGGCTTGTTGGAGATTGTCGTAGTGGCGAGATCTGGAATCGAAGGAGAACGTGTTTAGACTCAAGAACAAAAGTACAAAGCCAAGGTCTTATTATATTATCATTATTATACATTTATAATAATAACACAACCCGTCACTGGGTTTGGAGTTATAAATTGTATAAGAGAGTATTGTATCTATACATATATCTACATACATTTCAACTGAACAAAAAAACAATGAAAACTAAGTGCGATTAGGTAATAAATGAAAAAAAATTGGATAGTTGAAAATAGATGAAAGAGTAAAGGCGGAGTTAGAGTCTATAGTGGAACAATTTTCAATTGAAGGTAACTCATATACAGATTGAACTGAGAGCTAACGGCAACAATGTTAAATGTTAGAACTAAATTTTTACCGGGGTCATTTTTATTGTCTATGCATCGCCATTATAAATAATTGAAAAGTGAGATGATTCCATAAAATTTGCCCCCCGTAACAAGATAGCTTCTGCATATCGATAGGATGTACGAGCGAATAGGTGAACCAATTTGTTAAATACTTTGAAACATCGGTAAACTGATCAACACTCCGCAGGTCTATTATATTTGCGTCCTTAAAATGTCATAACTAGTCATTCGGTTTCTTCATTATCAAGCGTCCTTATCTGCATAGGCGTAGTGTGTTCTGTTTCTTGTGAAGGTGACTTTTTTTGTATTTATTATATATATTTTATTATATTTATTAAATAGACTGTTATATTTATTAACTTCAAAATATAAGATTTTCAAAATACATTATCATAGATTTTCATCACATTCACACTTTATTGTGAGATAATTAGTTGATCTAGTCATTGAACTAAGGTATAAATGTTCGTTAAACTTAGGTATAACTGTCATTAATTAGTTCCTAGAATATTATTAGTTTATAGGTAAATAGTATTATTTCAAAAAGTATATATAAATCACAATGTATGTAGAATTAAAGTTTGTTAGTGGACACGCTTGAAAAAGCTACTGTGCAGCGAAACACGTGTTGCGGATTTGTTAATCTGTTCTAGTGAAAATCTCACAATAAAGTGTATTTCAAAATACATCAACTTTAAAATAGTTTTTAAGGTAAGTAAATAACTGACAAATAGCTGAATAATATGATTGAATTTTATTATTGTTATAGTATTAAGATGGATGCCGTAGCAGGTCCAAGTAATGTACAAAGAAAGCGGAAGTTTATGTCGTTAGAAGAAAAACAGATTGTCTGTAGAGTGGTAGAAAAAAAATTGAATTGGGCGAGTACCAGAAAAAGTTTGTACGTTATACCATTCATTATTTCTTTTTTGAGAATAAAGCGCCAACCCTCGAATCCATTAGGACAAAGGTAATGGATAATGATCTATCCAAAAATGAGCAAAGTGAAGTTAAGGAAAATAATAAAAGAAGATTTAAAATTTATTTATGCCAAACGATCCCGTAAATCTGTCTTAATAGAAAGAGAAGATATAGTCTCAAGGCGACGGAGATATCTTCGCTCTATTAGAGAAATGCGTTCTGCTCACAAAAAGATGTATTATCTGGACGAAACGTGGGTGAATGCTGGTCACACAGTATCTAAGATCTGGCAAGATACTACTGTAACTAGTTATCGTCAAACATTTGACGGTTCATCAACAGGGTTACGCGGACCAACGGGTAAAGGGCAACGACTAATTGTCGCCCATAGAGGTAGCGAGAGAGGTAGTGCGAGAGGTAGTGCACTAATTTTTTATCCAAAAAACGGGGGATTATCACGAAGACATGTACGCCCAACGCTTTGAAGGATGGTTTGAATCCCTTCTTTCACGAGTCGAGCCAAATTCAGTAGTAGTAATGGATAACGCTTCTTATCACAGCCGATTAGTAGAACAGTTGCCAACTATGACCACCAGAAAAGCAGACATGCAGAGTTGGTTAGAAAAAGGGAAGGTTAGAAAAGGAGTTTCATTTTCCGAGGACATGGTTAAGGCCGAGCTTATGAGTGTCATTAAACAGCATCGTGACAGATATCGCCAGCATGTGGTGGATACAAGAGCTCGTGCTGAAGGCATCACCATTTTGAGACTTCCTCCTTAACATCGCGAGTTAAACCCGACAGAATTAATCTGGGCTCAATCTAAGGGTTACGTAGCTCGTGAAAACGTGACATATAAAATCTCTGATGTCCAACGTTTATTAGAACTCGCAATGGAACGGATACGGAAAGAAGATTGGGCTAAGGCTGTGTGTAGCCCATGTGATCAAGGAAGAAGAGAAAATGTGGAGATTGATACTGTTTTCGACCAAATAATAAGAGATTTAAGTGTGACTGGGGATTCCTCTTCGGACGAGTCAATGGATTCTGAAACTTCATAAGCATAACATAGATCAGTGGTCGCCAACCTGTCGATCGCGAGCTACCGGTAGCTCGCGAAGGCAATTCTGGTAGCTCTCACAACGATTTTAATTTAAAAAATACAAACTGCAAAAATCAGAGAAGCTTCCGAAAATTCCACAAAAAAATCTAATTGTCATAATATTAAACATTAACAGCAGCAACGTTGCGGTGAGCGATCTGCCGCTGACGCCATCAAGCTAGAATCGGCTAGAACCGACCAGCCGGACCAGCGCGTTAGTGTTCGAGAACGATCTGGATTGCTTTGAACGGGATAAATACGCACGGCGCGGCGACATTGCGCTTAGTTTAAGTCTGAACGCGTAACCGACGTCCAGTGGTTGGGTTAGTAGAGAACAACAAAATTAATATTATGGCAAGCAGTTATAAGAAGGTAAAGACATACCACTTTCATTCGGAATGGGAAGAACAATACTTTTTTACAAAAGTTAAAGATAAAAATGTGTGTTTGTTATGTAATACTTCGGTCCTCGTTGTTAAAAAAGGAAATATTGAGAGACATCATAAAACTGTACATTCTAATTTTGAAAAATCATTCCCACTACATTCTGCCGCCAGAAAGGAGAAACTGAAACAGTTAAAAAAGCAGTTAATTGGACAACAATCAATATTTTCAAGAACAGTCAACAAAAATAAGGCTGCAACTGAAGCATCGTACCGTGTGTCCCAGATAATTGCACAAAAAAAGAAACCTTATTTTAATATTTATTCACAATCATATTTAATTCTATTGGTTCAATTTGATTAGGACCATCTGACCTGAAAGACTACTCACCATACAAACTAATCGGCTTCGTTAAGAGGCTGGGTTTATTTGGCTGAGTGTGAATAGGATTGGGCCACAATAAACCCTTGCGGGTTGCGATGGAGGGTCGAATAGACCCACTTACTTTAGACCTAACCTTAATATAATTATAGTAATATCAACACTCTTCCGTATTTTCACTCCAAAAGTTGACAACCATGTGTTGAAAAAACATTGAGAATTTCACTCCACTGAAACTTTGGTGGAGTTTCACTCTGTTGGATATGAATCTGAAAATTTGGTTCGTTTCTCCAACACCAGCGTGCGTCGAAAAATATTGAAGTTCTGGCGAGAGTGAATTATATTTTCGTTGTCATTGTTGCAACGTAATCGGTTAGAGTTTACAGAGTGTACCTACACAATAATAATTACTTTAGTTGACGAGAAACTCCGTTTTTAGAAAGTATTTTTCAACCTGAATTACGGAACTAAAAACCCTGTAAGCGAAACCTTTCCTCCTAACCCACCTTCCGTCTTTCCTTATGAGAAAAAATAAAATTCCATTGGTATTCAAACAGTATATCTCATCTCATCACCCGGCCCTCCAAGTAGATAGAGAGATGGTCCAACAAAACCCAATTACATTTCTCCATGCCTCGGGGACCTCTCAGTCTGCGTAGGCAGTCTTCTGCATCTTCTTTTTTTTGTGCGCCCCGTACCCTTGCATCGTACGAGATATGCCGATAGGGTCCGGACCGAGTTAAATCTTTATTAGATCCGCGGCACTACGCTGCATCTATATAGCCTATTTATTTTAAATCTCGTACAGGTCGTTTTCAATTTAGATCATGTCCTTCGGAAAAAATCGAGGAAATTGGAGAGGAGTCGGATCGGAATTTATGGCCAAATTCGGACCTCGCATGAAAATGAAGTCACGGTTAGATAAAACTGAAAATGATGTCGGATGGGAAATTTTTCAGCCAGGTCCTTAGTCATATGAATTGGAATTTTCATAAATTTGTCGTTAACTATTGTTATTGTCTCCTGCGAAAACATTTTCCCGTTCTATAATGAGGGGGGAGGGCATAATAGTCGAAAAGGGGGGAATAAGCCTACGCTTTTATTTTCACAGTTTCGTAAAATCTACTTTTGTCGGTACACAGCTTCCTCTTCAAAATTCGTTTATGTTCTCTTTCAAATAGATTTAGTGAATACTATATCATTGCAAAAACCTGTATTTAATCTCATATTACTGTTTTCATTCCAAAATCTCATCTTTCTGAAAATCAGATGTACAGTGTGACCCATTTTTAATTGAAACACCCCCCTAAAATTTGAAGTTGTAAACCGATTTTAATAATTTCTTTTTTAAATGTCAAATACTAAAAGGTCTACCTTGGGACAAAATTTGAATTGTTTATTAAAGTTTCAGGGCATACTACGATATTTTTTCTTAGTCGAAAATCGGGATTTTTTATTAGCGATTTTTTTATTGAAAAAATCACTACGCCACTGGATTCAGAGTACCTCTAAACAGGTGTGACCAAAATTTCATGAAAAAATATTCATT